ATTGAAGTAAAGGAAGATACTACACAGTGCTCTCCACTTGTTTGCTGAGACAGTCATGACACTGTAGAAAGTTGTTGGGTTGATCAAGCATAGCTTCCTCTTGGTGAAGCCGTTCTGGTTCCCCCAGTCACGTTCTTGTCTTTTATGTGCCTGGAAATGATTTCCAGGTTAGTTGGTCTATCACCTTTCTGGGTACTGCAGTGAAGTTGAGCAACCTGTTGTTTCCTGGGTCTTCCTTTTTGCCCCTGAAGATAGGAATGACAGAAGAGTGTATTTAAGTAGAAGGTTAAAAGGACAGCATTGAAAAATAAAACAATAAAGGATTATTGCATAGCAGTTACCTGTTGTATACATGATTGCAAAAATGTATAGTACCCATACTGGATCTGACTAATGAGTGTGTCCCTGTTCCTCTACTGAAAAGATGTGCTTTATAGATGAAAATACACGTAAAAGATTGCAAGGTTTATTTGCTTGCTTAATTTTGCAGAAGTATCTAATACCTGCTGAATAGAGGATAACTTAAATTGATTATTGTGGCTCTTTTCAAAACAAAGGCTTGTTTTTTCTTAAGGCAGAAAATTCCAAGTCATGCTAGGTACTAAGCTGACCATGTGAAGGATGCAAAAAAATTGACTCCCCGGAAGCTTATTCTGGCTTTGGTTTCTTTCAGTGATATTTGCAAATAAACTATTTTCAGTAATCTCAATTTAAGGCAGCAGACACTGCTTGCTTTCAATAGGTACTCCAACATGAGAACCACCTTGAAGAGTAATGTAGTGGCTATTAGTCACAACTGTGAAAAATGGCAGTGTAAGGCCTGCATATCCAAGATGTCTTGATGCTCTGTTGTTTGCAAGGACAGTGTTTCAGAAGAAATGTGCTAGTAGCATAAAAATTATTTTGAATGAGAAGTTGTTAATACAGGACCTGAAGTAAATATATCTAGGAATTGCTACAACCATCTACTTTGTTCAATCATCATCATCATCATCATGGCCAGGCTTCGCGAACGAAGATTTGGGGAGGGCTCTACCCGTGTTTGTTACAAGCGCACTGGTGGCTAAAAAAGCCAATATGAGATAGGCATGTCCAGTTGCAAAAGGCACAGCAGAAAGACTCCTTAGGTGGAATATTCTGCAAGGCACGATTCTTTCTGCATTGTCTTTTCTCCTCAAGAGTGACCCTGCGTGCTTTCTCAAAAGCATCAGCAGTGTTATAGATGGTGTGTCTCCAGACCTCCTGATTGGAGGCCAGAGTAGACCAGTTATGTTGATCAATATGGCCAAGGCCGAGATGTTGTTTCAGGGAGTCCTTGTATCTTCTCTTTGGGGCTCCTCTCTTGCGGCAACCGGTGGCAAGTTCACCATAGAGCAGGATCTTAGGGAGGTGGTGGTCCTTCATCCTGGAGACGTGTCCTGCCCAGTGCAGCTGTGTTCTCAGCAACATGGCCTCAATACTTGTGACTGCTGCTTGTTCTAGAACAGATGTATTGGTCACATAATCTGACCAGTGGATGTTTAGGATTGTATATTACTAAGACAGTCTTGAGTGTTGTAAAAACAATAGTAGCCTCAGTAACCCTGAAGGCTCCACTTGAAAATAAATGCGCAAAATTGTGTACCTGTTCTCTTCTGCTTGCCTTTTTCATATCAGATTTTTAATGCTATTTTTAGTTTATTTAATGCTGCTTAGTCTCCTGTTTTTCATGCGGCCTTATTCCAAAGGGTACAACAAGGACTAGATTATCTGGTGCTGGTGTCAATACTTGAAAATAATTGCTGTGGGAGTCAAGCAGACCAGTAATAGAAAATGAGATGAATCTTAGTGCAGCAAGATTCCAAGCATTTGTCATGCTACCTTGCATCTCTACAAAAAGCGGTAATTTTTAGGTAAAGCACAACACTAAATTAAACATTAAGTTTAGGAAATGTCACTGCTTTGTTATGCAGTTTTTTGCCTGTTGCACACTTCTGTGCTCACTGTGTGCAGTACTTAGCATTAATATCTCAAAAGGCCACTCTCTCCATAAAGCTTAGTCATGTATGGGTCTTGTTGGAGGAAAACTACTAAAAAGAAATTAAAAATCACATTTCTCTTTATGATGTGGAATAAAATTTTCCAGTGACACTAGTGTGACTTCCCTGTTTGTTCTTTTCCAAAAATTTTAACACCTTGTTTATGCCAGAATTATATGGGCTGGAAGGGACCTCTTGAGGTCCTGTGCTCCAAATCCTAGGGCATGATCCCTGCTACAGAATGCTTCAGTAGGGCATTGCTTTTCAATCTACCTTCTTCAGCTGGACCACGGTGCAGTCAGGTAGCCCAAGATCCACAGGACCAAAGAGAGAACAAGACCATCCTAAGAAACAGTATGGCAACAAGAGGTATTTGGGTATTCTTAAGAATAACGGTGTGCATGCAAGGTGTTTGTTCCAACTCATCCCACTAGTGCCAACCTTACTTAATTTATGTCTAAATGTGGGTGACTTTAGAGAAGTCCCTGTCTATCTGTGAATCTTGGCAGACCTTAAGCACTGAACAAATGTCTTCTGAATTTGAACAAAAGCCCTCCTATGTACTGTGAAGCATCTTAAACAGAAATAAAGGCATACCCAGTTATAGAATAGAAATCTTGGAGGATAGGAAATTCCTGGAAATGGTCTTTGTTATGGTGAGAGAATGGGGGGAACAACATAGTATTGCAGGTAAAATTAAAGGTAAGAGGAAGATTTTTTTTTTGTTCCAGATAGCTGCTGAATATTGCTTTGCATGACCACTATTGTACAGTTGTAGTATTGATAAATGTCAGGTGGCTGATACGTTTTTTCAATTTTCAGAATACAGGTTAGTGTGCTGGTGAAAACTGTGTAGCTGTAAAGGTGTTGGACTTTGCTTTGTGGAGAAAATCTCCATCAATGAAACAAATGCAGTATTAATGTCTAGAAATATTTGCTGTGCTAACAAGCTTGAAAATGGTTTTGCAGTTTTTCTTAAAGTAACTAACTATGAAGTAACCTTTAAACTGATTACTTTAGATACTGGCAAGGGAGCAAAATGGCACAGAAACTGCTCATCAAGAAATATCATAACAATATTAGAAATGGGTATCTTAAAGGATCATATTTTTATGGAACTTCATATTTTTATACCTTGTGTCTTCACTGCCTTTCTTATTTACAGAGTGATGAAATAGAAATATGCATTTAATAATTCTTGAAAATGTTCATTTGACAAAGTAGAGGACCTAAGTGGATTATTCCTACTATATTTTTAAATTTTTAGAGTAGATAATGAGATTAATTTGCTACAGTAATAAGTACTAAAAAAAAAAGAGTGCCATTTGAACTCTGTTTAATTCTTACTAATATATGCAAAAGTGTTTACTTTCTGTGAAAAGTTTGCATTCAAAACTAACTCTGCCAAGCTTTAATTTATTTTGAACTTATGCTTTTAGGTAGTTATCAGAAATCTAATCTGGAGTAATGAAAATTTGCAAAGATGATATAATTCTAGCAGTTATTCTTTTCAGTTGAAAGAAGTTGTTCTATATTCAGAATTTTTAGGATGTTTAAACAAAAGGAAAAAAAGCCAGTTTTGTGAAATCAAGCAACATGTCAGAAATGCTTCTTTTTACAACTTCTGTGACCCATAGTGTTCCTTACAGAGTTGGAGAAGACTCATATGTGCAAAGTTTCATGACAAATTCTGTTTTGAAATATTCACTGTTAGTTCTGATTGGTATTTAGGATAATAATTTAAAGTTTTATGGCACATATATTGAGGTGTGGTCAGTTGTAGAAAACTTTATTTTGAATTGTCACTTTAACAAAATTCTTGATATGCAAAAGTTTACTTTCAAAAACTATGGTTTTTTGGAGCATTGGGAATCAGTGTGCTGTGCTTCAGATCATAAACTCAGACATGAAAGTTATAATAGAGTATAGAATCAGGGCATCCATGGAATATTTTTCCAGCTGGTGATTTCCCAAACAGTTTGATCTTGAGCAAGGTATTTAAAGTCAACCTAAGAATTTCTGGCAAGAGGAGCCAAGTATTTCTCTGAGAGATTAGCAAGGGTCAGTTTGAGTATGACAGTAGCTGTGCCCTGTAGCTGCAGAAGTGGAGTTCAGTTCGTCAGAGCTGTTTGCTGGAGGTTTTCAGCTGGGGCTTTGCTCACATAAGAGGAGGTCGGTAGTGTGACAGTAAAGGTGTATTAAACCTATGTGAGGAAATGCACTTCTTATGTCACTACTATAAACTAGTTTGTATTACTTTTAAAAATTGATGTTTCAATGGATTCAGGCAATCAGCCTGATATTGGTATGAATTATAAACAGATATATGAAGTAATTTTCATAATCAAATTTCACATCAGTAGAAATATTTTGAAGTCTCTAGACAAGAAAAGACTAGGAGTTCCCTTTTCCAAAAGAGAAGAATGCTATTATTAGCCTTCAGGTTTATAAAGGAAAAGATCATGAACAAAGGTTGTGCGCATCAATGCTTAGCATCTGTAAATGCTGCATGTTCTGCAGATGCTCTTTGCAAGAAGGCTAAATAATGTCACTAGTCTACTTTTAATTTTTAAATCTAAGCTTTTAAAAACTTGATTTTTTTTTCTCTTTAATGTTGCAGAAATGTATAGTTTGGTTGCTGAAATGAGTTGATAAATTATAGACAGCTCTTTGCCTAGTGCATGATATGCGGTGATCAGTTTAAGAGTTTAAGACTTATTTTTAAGCTATCCTTGAACTTAGTTTTATTTAAAAAGTGATTACATACCAGTGAAGATATAATGATAATTTTTTACAATCGCGTGCCATGTTCCTTTGTCCATAACTGCCACATACATCATTACAAATCAAATTCATTATGATAAACAAATATAGAAAAGGGCTTTTATTTCTGATACTGAAGCAGCATCTTTAATGAGAATTTTTTAAGCATGGAATCTTTTCAGAAAGGTTACTTGTGTTTATTTTTTTTTCCCTTAAAAGCCACAGAAGAAAGAGGATCAGCAATCAGAAGCTAAAGCAAGTCCAAAAAAGTCATCAGAACCCACTATTGACCTTTTAGGACTTGGTAAGCAGTACATAATTACCTGGTTTTAAATCAAACACAGGTACATCATTTTATATTTTAATAGACATACTTTTATTTTCGCTGTGTTTACTGATAGCTAGATAAATTTGGAAACCATAAGATTGAGTCTATGAATTTGAAACTATAAAGGCGAATGCCACAGGGATATGGGTATATCAATACTTATGTTTTGCTAAGGAAAGTAATGAGCTCCTCTGGGAAGGGGAAGTTATCAAAGTGATCTTCAAAGGGCTTGTGAACTGTAATATTTCAATGTTTATGGTACAAGTGTACTTTTCAGTGAAAATGCTGAGGTTACCTGTATTGTGTATCTGTAAAATACCTTATATCGTAAAATTCCTCTATCAGGTAAAAGAACAGGAAACTGTCGGACTGCAGCTGACTGGTATCTTGTAAACCTTAATACCTTGGGTATTTCAGTGTTGTGACCATCATTGTGTTGTGACCCTGGGTATTTCAGACTGTGACCATCATGCATTTTTATCTAAAAGGCCTTTTTGTTTTCTGACTGGCAGGTGACTGTGTATTTGTCTTGTAAGTAAACTAGTTTGAAGTAAAATAATTTAATTTGCCCTGTTGTGTGTAGTCCATATTCGTAAAATATGTCTTTCATTTATCTAGGGTTACTCTAAGTGTGCTTTTTCCATTTGATAGAATGGAAATGGAAGAATATAATGTTGCAGTAACTATTTTTATTTCCTTTTGTTATTCATTGTCAGGAAATTTTCTAAAAGTTGTGAGTGGATATTAAAAGTATTCCATTTATATCAAGATAATGGTTATTCTTAATTTTCAACATAATTTCTACAGGATATTGGAAGAGGCTGAGAAGTCATTTAAATGTCATTAGTGTAAAAACTTGACTTTGTAGAAAAATGGCTTGGGATTTTTTAATTTTTTTGTTTCAAGGTATGAATGATGTGACAAAAAACAATAAATGTCTTCTCTGTTTTAGAATTCACACTCTTATCCAAAATGCATGGTATTTTTCCCTCTGGATGTAGACTTAACTGTAAAGTACTATTTTTGTATGGATTATGTCTATGTTGTGATCCGTATCTCATTCCAAGTAATCTGGTACTATAGGCAAGCAAATCTTAATTATCACAGTAGAATGAATGTAGAATGAACCTATTTTTAAAAAAAAAGTTATTTAGACTTGATAGAAAGCTGATCTTCCTTTATTTTCCTTTAGCAGAACAAGAACCTAATTAAGAAGTAAAATTCAATTAATGTGGTTTTAAGATTACTAGGCTTCTGTATTCTTTTGGTAATGATTTGGAAAGAATCTTGATAACAGTGTCATGATAAAATAATGAACTTGGATTACATTGGCTAACTAGAAATGTAGTATGCAATGGAGAGGGTATTATAATTGGTGTTCAACAGCTGTGCTTCTTCAATGAGATATACAAAGAGCAAAGTTTATAATATATATGTTAAAACGCCCTAATTTTAAAGGAGGGAATGCTTAAAGATCTTTTAAATAACAAGTTGAAAGGCAGTGTATTAAGCCAGTAGCGCTTGGAATCCACTGAGCTGCAAATGAGATATGTGTTAATGAGAGCAGACCTGCATATTTCATTTGGAGAGTAGTCTTTTAATTAACACTTCCAGTGCACTACTTCAGATAATATTGAAAGAGAGATCACATCAACCCAGTTCATACAAGATATAGCAAAGGTTGGAAAGGACCTCGAAAGACCCTCTGGTCCAACCTGTGGGAAGGAGAGCCTAGAGGAAATTATCCTGTGTGATCACATCCTGAGAACCTTCAGTGATGGGGACTCTACCACATCTGTGAGAGGTTGTTCCAGTAATTGATCTCACTGCAAAAAATTTATTTCTTATGTTGAGATGAAACCTCTCCTGGTGCAACTTGTACCTGTTGCCCCTGTCTTTTCTGTGTGGCTCCTTGTGAGGAGAGAGCCTCTGTCCTCTTTGTAGCTGCTCTTTGAGTACTGGCATACTGGGATGAGATTCCTCCTGAGCCTTCTCCAGGGAGGAAAGGCTGAACTCTGTCAGTCTTTCCTTACAGAGCAGGTTCTGCAGCTCTTTGGTCATCTTCGTGGCCCTCCTTTGGACCCTCTGCAGTCTGTCTGCATCTATCTTGAACTGGGGGGCAGAGCTGGGCACAGACTCCAGGTGCAGTCTGGGAAGCTTTGAGTCAAGTAGGGTGATTACCTCTCTGTCTCAGCTGGTACCACCCCTGAGGATGCAGGCCAGAATCCCACCTGCCTCTGGTGCTGCAGTGATGTGCTGCTGATTAAAATGTTTAATATGTCATATCAAACAATATTAAAATGTATATGATTGCTTAGCTCGTTCTTCTTAGCGGACATGTTTCTAATGAGGATTCATTCTCTTAGGACTTAATTTCTGCAAATGAAGAACAGTAGTAGCTTTTAGTAGGGCAGATCAAAATTGCTTGTGATAGCAGGTTGAGTAATTTTAGTAGATCAGAATTCATGCTAGAATAATTGTGGTTTTCAGAATAGCCCATCTTCTTTGCCAAGTATTTTCTTGAGTAACCCTCAGTGCTGGCTTTGGGTCTGGGGTTAACCTTCGGGTCGTTGCTCTTTTATTGTCTCAGTTGGTCTTGTAACAATGACCTCATAAGAAGGTAAACTTCCTGAGACAGGACTTACCCTGTGAAAATTGAAGCTAGACAATTTTTTGAAAATAAATACTTTCATTTTTCTTTACAAATTGCAAAATTTTCAAGATAATACATCTAGGCAAATTGTATCTTTAAATCTTGTAATAGGAGAAGATAATATCTTTGTAATATCATCAGTGATTGTACTATGATGTTTGTGTTTCTTCTGAACCTTTTTTAAACACATTCATGTGGTTCCATTGAGTTCCTGATCGGGGATTTACTATTGAGATGCTGTTTGGATATTCACTTTTTGATCCAACAACATTCATAGCTTTTGGCCTTTTGTTTCAGAACAGATTTTAGTTCAGTACTCCACACACAGAAAGGTGGGGAAATGGGCATGTACAAGGTAAATATTGTTATATTCTCCACAAGCAGTAGTGTGCCTGCTGTGTTCTTGCTGTGCAACTCCAAATTCCTTCCCTCTGTTTCCAGGCAGTGAGAAGTCACAGCCTGTTTCTGTAGGCTAAACCTGAAGCTGCTTTTGTAGTCATCTCTGCGATCATTTGGATCTTATCCATGCTGGGAGGGTGCCCTGCTGAAAATGTGGAGTCTTAAAATTGGCACTAAAATCAATAATATGGGATTTTATAACATGAATTTTTAATATTATAATTATAGGAAACATTTTTCAGTTTGAAAGTCACAGTGTGTAAACCACAGTTTGTCAGCACTTAAGTGATTGGTGGTGCTGTATTTTCATCCCTTTGGTGTTAACCTTGTGCACTGTGCTCCTTTTGGAGTTTTTTTCTTACAACGTAGATGTCCCCACTTCTGCCAGTTTGATGTAAATAATTTTTTTTAATCTTGTAAAAGATTGTGTAGTAGCTAAGTACAAATGTGGAATATTGGAATGTTACGCAGGCAGTTTTTGATCATTGTGTTTGTCAAGGAATGTCACTTAGAAATTACTTCAACATATAGAAAAAGGGAAAAATTAGTATTTTTAAATATAGAATTATCAGAGAGAAGAAAAGTGCATTTTACATATTCTGCATCTTTTACCATGTTTAGATGTGCCCTTCATAAAATGGACAATTGCACTTTCTAGAAAAACCATTGTATTAAGTTGCAATGAATGACTAAAAGAAAAGAGATTTATTATATTGTTATTATTTACTGGATTTGATGTGTGGGGTATTCATCTAGCATGGTTGGACGTAAAGTATGGTATGTTAAAAGCTGCTTATCTGCTTCTGCATGGGAAATATTCTCCGAAAGAATTCGGATACGTAAGTATCATGTATGCATATATAGATCATAGATTCCTCCAATCATGGAATAGTTCAGATTGGAATGGCCCTTCAAAGGTCATCTAGTCCCACCTCCCTATAATGAACAAGGGTATCTTCAACTAGATGCTCAGAGCCCTGTCCGACCTGACCTTGAATGTTTGCAGGGATGAGGCATCTACCACCTCTCTGGGTAACCCATTCAGTGCTTCACAACCCTCATTGCAGAAAAATTTATTTCTTATATCTAGTCTGAATCTGTCCTGTTTTAATCTAAAATCATTACCCTGTGTCGTGTCGCCACAGGCCCTGATAAAAAGTCTGTCCCCATCTTAGAGATCTCCTTTAGGTTCTGGAAGGCTACAGTAAGGTCTCCCTGGACCTTTCTCTTCTCCAGGCTGAACAGCTCCAACTTTCTCAGTCTTTCCCTATAGCAGAGGTGTTCCTGCCCTCTGATCATCTTCGTGGCCCTCCTCTGGACCCACTACAACAGGTCCATGTCTTTTCTGTGTTGGGGGCCTCAGAACTGGATGCAGTACTCCAGGTGGGGTCTCACAGGAGTGGAGTAGAGGATTAGAATCCCCTCTCTCATCCTGTTGGCCACACTGATTATGATGCAGCCCATGATACAGTTGGGTTTCTAGGCTGTAAATGCACACTGCCAGCTCATGTCCAGATTTTCATCCTCCAGTATCCCGAGGTCCTTCTCTGCAGGGCTGTTCTCAATCTGTTCATCCCCCAGACTATTGATAGCAGGGATTGCCCTGACTCGGTGCAGGACCTTGTACTTGGCCTTGTTGAACCTCAGGAGGTTTGCTTGGCCCTGGTTCTTGAGCTTGTAAACATGTTAACATTTTTAGTATTGCTGCAATGTTAAGATTATTCTTAGATAAGGAATATATCTACTCAAAATGAAAATATTTACAACCACTTGAGGCGTACAGCATTGTTAGATTTCTGGCTTTCCACATTTCATTTTCAGAAGTATTATATGGAAATTGCCTCCTTATGAATGCTTTTTCACTTCTGCAAAGGTTTTAGCAGTAAATAAAATTTTACTAATACATTAAATAATTCTGCCGTAATTTTGTTCAGACTTTGTTTGCCTCTTTGCCCCAGATTTTTGTTAAAAGTATTAACCTATTTCTCTCAGTTCTGCCTGTCTAGTAATTTGGTGTAAAAAAATGCATATTTTCCCTCTATTACAAGGCTCGATATGGCTGTCATAAATTATTGTATATATAAAAATACATGGCTGCTTAGTAACAAAGTTCTTGTAAATAGTTTGGCCCATAGAAAATGAGTTCCAGAAACATAATGCAAAGTTTAGAAGCAGATCTGCTTTCTTGCTGTTTCCTCTCTTGCTGTCCCTTTGAGGCTCTTCTGCTGGTCATTCTCACTATTGGTACAGATAAATATACCAAGGAGATTAATGATGTATATAAAAGCTATGATGTGTATGAAGGCAGCACTGAATTGGAAATTGTCATGTCAGGCATTAATAAAATACATACAGAAAAAGAATGTACACTGGAACCCTTCACTGTATTATTAAAAATATTGTGGTAAAGAGCTTTTGTTTCTGCTGTCAAACAAAATTTACTTATCTGAAATCAGAAGCAGCATCTGCTGTTGCACAGATACTATGTCACACTGCCATAAATTGTAAGAAGAGAAGTTTTAGAACCACCACTAGGAACAAAGATGAGGAACAGTGTCTATTGACTCTTCATGTTACCTTCTCCAGCTGAGCATGAAAGCTCTGCCTTGCATGTGCTCTCAATGCAATGGCTTCTGCCACATCTAATACCTCACTCCAAGCTACAGATGTGTTCTACAGAAAAGTGGTGGAGGTAGTGTTCAATAAAAGTTAATTGCTTCAAAGTAATTCTGTGATGGTCGAAGCTATAAATTTCTCAAAATATTCCGACAGACCCATATAACTCAATCTGACTTTTACCTGTTCCCTGGACAGGCTGCAGCCATGTTTCCTTCCGTCATATACACTCCACCTCTTCTAATCAGGTTTTAATGGTAGGCAGCATAAGTTGAATGAATAGTGATATGTTTAGAATAAGTTAGAACTCAGAAGTCTGCTGGATTATCTTTCTTATGCTAGAAAAATATTTTAAAATATGGAGGGGAAGGAGGAAGTGCTTCTTAATCTGTGACCTCTGGTTAAGAACTGTGAATTATTGTGTTGAAATACAAGTCTCTGTATGCCTGCATGCATATATATTTAAATGAAAACACTAATATTGCTACAATTAATAAACTGGAGTGAAAACATTGTTAGGTTTCTTCTATATTCTGAAACCTAGTTCTTTTAGTTTCTGTGCAGAGAAGGGGGAATATTTTTGGAGTTGCTTTTTAATAGAAATATTCCAACTATTTTATTTTGTGAAATCACTAAGAGAGGATCATCTATTAATACTATTCATACAGGCTTAAAACTGTGTTATAAACAGTAATTCAAAATGTCTGGTTTCACACCAGTAGAGACAGCGAGGTAGCTATCCAGTAAGAGATGAAAGGTGTGTACATTACCAAATAATACTCTTACAGAAGCAATCTAGCAAAAATTTTTGTAGTATTAATTTATAAGCAGCATATTAAGTACTTGAAAAATACTGTGTTTTTGCAAATGTGTTGTGTCATGAGTGTTCTAAATATGTGAAATGCTTGTTTAAGTAAATGGTTGTATTTAAATTTTCAGTCTTCTACATTAAACGCTTACATTCAGGTAAACTAAATCACTTTTGAATATGACAAGAGAGATATGTTTTTAATACAAGTGCCTGACTGAGAAACAAGAACATTAAATTATTAATTCCTGATAATCCATTTGCTTGAAAATTATGTACGGTTCATTCTTAAATTTATCTGAAACAGTGAACCTTTGAGATGTTTTTTGAACTGCCAGTCTGCAGAGTGACCTCAAATAAAGCTTGTTGCTTACATTTGTCAGTATATTTATTTACACACATCTCAGAGCACTAGTGTGGATGGAACAGTGGAGCAGATTATACATATTGTTTTGCTGTCCACTGACTTCCATTCATTGCATTAAGATATAAGTAGCTTTGTCATAATCATAGATGAGTATGTAACTTTGGTTTTCAGAATCATTGGAGTGGGAATCCCCCAGCAAAGTCAAATTACAACAGTAGAACATTAACTCTACCCCAGACAAAACTGATGTGATGGTCTTCTGAGTGGATTGTTTCAGGAGGCAGTGCCTTCTCATATGAGTTAGCAGTCGAAAAACATGTTAATAGCAGTTTTTTCAGTGTACTGTAATCTAGGGATTTTAGAATACCGATCCTCCTGTAATGTATAATCACCCATGCCAGTCACAACAGGGTTTCATTTGCAGAGAAAGTTTTTACTTAATTCAACTAGTTTGTTCTGCCAGAGAAGTTCTGCAGTGAGATTAGATAATTTGAGACTTAACTTCTTTTGCCTGAAAAAGCTTTCTCAAATTTGCTGTTAAGACTATGCTGTCATCAAAGTCCTCAGTAGAATCTACAATCACCTTTGTATTTGTCAAGCTCTGTGTAACAGCAAACCACTTGTGATATGCTTAGGTATAAATTTATGAGCCAGTTCTTACCACTTGATCTTGAACAGCTTAAAATCAAATGAGAAATGGTTGCTCTGTTCCTTAAAAACCTTTTGTGATATTTTTGTCCCTATATATTTTCAAGTATTTTCTTGAAATTCTCCTTAAAGTGTAATGCTCCATCCCTTTCGTTGTCCTGGAGGTATCCACTTTCACCTGGATCAGTAAATGCATTCACATGTTAAAGTGGTTACTGGCACCAAGGCTGTGGAAGGTTAACTCTGTACAGAAGGGGAGCCATGGGTTCTTATGGATAATTAGCCCAGTGTGCCTGGCAGGGGTATTCATGTAGAGCTATAGAATAAAGTTAATGCAAAGTACTTATAAAAAAGGAGGGGAGAATGGACTTTTTTCATAATGCAAAGTTCACTTACGTACCCTTGAGTAAATTAGCATAGCAAGAATAACTTTATGGATTCTAAAATGCAAATTGTAACTCAAGAGCACAGATGAATGTGTTTCGTCTGATACATGGCTACCAAATTTGGGCCTTCTCAGTAAGACATCTGTTAAAATTCTTACTAAAAATGTCGATGTGCTTGAAAAAGACTCCTGAAAAATGAGTAGTGTGGCCGTCCTTAGGGAAGTCTTAAATGTTTTGTTTTGTCGTTGGTTGTTTTTTAATGAAGCACATTAGTATGCCATGTTTTTAGGGAAAGAAGTCTTTAAAAATCTGAACAATATCACAGTCTGAAAAATATCTCAGAAATTGAATACATCTTTGATTGGGGGCAGGGTAGGAGGGAATAGGAAGCTTTAATTATTCTTATGCTGTTAAGATATTAATGATTTTCCCTTTACATGTGATCCTGCTGTCTTTTTAAGATGGTCCAGCTGAAGCATCTGTTACAAATGGAGGCACTGCTGCTGTCACAGCACTGAATGATGACCTGGATATCTTTGGCCCAATGATCTCTAATCCTTTACCAGCAACTGCTGTACCTCCTGCTCAGGTAAAATTTATTTACTAGTTTATTAGTTATGTGTGTGTGTAAATATTTGTATGCACATGTGTTTTCCTTCAGGGAATTGTTCATTCACATAGAAGGAATGCTCACTTCTCTACACTCATGGCTGAAGATGCTTTAGCTGTAATGGTGATATTTTTCTCACCTCTTCAAGTTTCTGCACTGCTTGGATGTAGATATGAAATTAGGAAATGGTGTGGTCTTCCATTCTGGTTATCCAGCTAAATTAGATTCTGTCTTACCTTGATGATGGTAGTCATGTTTTCTTTTAATTTAGTCTTTTGTCTTGTTCTTTTTTTAATTGCTGAATATAATTTTACTTAATGTTCTCAGGTTGTTAGGCTTTAAGTCATCCTTTTTAAGACCTCTTATTGCTTTGTTATGCTGATATTTAGGAAAGGCTGCAGCAGATGCTTCTCTCTTAGGGATGCTAAAAATTTTGGGTCCGAAGCTTCATACTCAAAATCCAAAATGGATATCAAGAAAATCTAATATTACTACCTGGACTGATCTGTCTTTTGTCTCATCTTGGAACTTGTATGCCTTGCTCTCCTCAAGGAAGAGTAGCATAATCCTACACGAAGAACCTGCTTAAAGCTGCAGCTCTCTCAAAGTACCCGTCAGACTCAAAGAGCAAGGTATTTGTGTTGGACATGGCTGGGTCAGAATGCACATATGCAGGCTTCCTTACCCCAGACCGACTTCTGAGAGGGTGGTTTTGGAGGAGTAGTGGGCTAACCTCCCCATCTGGGAAGTCCTGTTAAGGTAATTTAGAAGCTTATTTTTGTGTAAGGCTTTCTGTCTCGCTCAGCTGAACTGGAAAGAATTGTGTATATTCTTGAATTTATGGTTTGTGACATGTGATCTGTACTTGTTTCTCTTTATCAGTTATTTTTCATAATATATGTAAAATGGAAGGGATGATGATGAAAAGGAGTTCTGAGTACCTCAAAGCATATGCTTGTTGTTCAGCAGATTTAATTATTTAGCCTTTACTCTCCCTTCCCCTGCTTGTTGCTGAGGGCTGACTCTGTGCAACATGCTAGGTAGGGTTTTAGAGACTGAAAACACATTTCTTTTTAAGCGTAATACTACAGATGGGGCAAACTTCCCACTGTGCCTTAGCCACCCATAAACAGTGAGGGAAATGAGCTGTATACATGCATTTAGATTTGGATGTGTTAGCTAAAATTGTGAAGGAAATTGTTGGTCTAATTTCTTGTCTCTTTTGGAAGTCAATGTTCAAAGTACCAGGAAGAAAAGTATTTGGGTGCTTGTTGTCTGCTATCCTAACACATTATGTCAAAATTGGTCTAGAGGAACCTACCTATAGAGCTAGATGTGAAAAACAGTAGCCCATTTCCAGTTTCCCCAAGTTTTGTAATGTATCCAGTTTGTACATAGATTGAGTAAATTTAAATCTATGAAGTTCCCACTTGGCCCTGAAATCAGTGGGCTATGGTAGCAGTACACATAATGGATACGACTGAATTCTGGTTTTCCCCCTTTCCAGTCTTTCTGATGCTGGAAGTGACAACTTCTGTATGTAGTTACTGTCCGCTCAGGAGAAAAGAGCAGCTTGAGAGAGACGAGAAAACCCTTCTTTTGTTTCTCTTCCATGAACACATGAAGTGACCTGCTGGTTAAACGAATGATTTAGCTGTAGAATGCAGGAAATGCAAAGAAAGGCTGAATATTTAAGAGTGAGAACAAGAAAAATGAAGGGGGATACTTGGGTGATGATGATGACTAGTGATGGGTTAAGTAATGGAGTGGCTGTTAAAGCATAATGAATTACATGTATATAGATAATTTAAAATGCATTTCAGATTTGGTCATTAGATCTTCTGTGAGAGAAATATTTTGAAATGTAGTTTATCTTTGTGCTAGTTTCTAGGCTAAAGATGGTACTTACTCTGTGGCTAGGCTTCGTGAATGAAGATTTGGGGAGGGCTCTACCCACATTTGCTACAAGCGTGCTGGTGGCTAAAAAAACCAATATGAGACAAGTCCGGTTGTAAAAGGCGCAGCAGAAAGACTCCTTAGGTGGTATATTCTGCAAGACACGATTCTTTCTGTGTTGTCTTTTCTCCTCGAGAGTGATCCTGCGTGCGTTCTCAAAGGAGACAGCAGCGTTATAGATGGTGTGTCTCCCGGCCTCCCGATTTGAGGCCAGAGTAGACCAGTTATGGTGATCAATATGGCCAAGGCTGAGATGTGTTTCAGGGAGTCCTTGTATCTTCTCTTCGGGGCTCCTCTCTTGCGGCAGCCGGTGGCAAGTTCACCACAAAGCAGGATCTTAGGCAGGCGGTGGTCCTTCATCCTTGAGATGTGCCCTGCCCATCGCAGCTGTGTTCTCAGTAACATGGCCTCAATGCTTGTGACTGCTGCTTGTTCTAGAACAGACATATTAGTCACATAATCTGACCAGTGGATATTTAGGATTGTATAGAGACAGTATGAATGGAAGCGTTCTAAGAGTTGCAGTTGGTGGCAGTAGATGACCCATGACTTACTAAATAGATTAAAAAATGCTAGCAAGGATAATGTTATTCTCAGTATCTGGTAAGTATCATCTTGTTTGTGTACTAGAAAGTCAGAATATATTTACTTGCTGTAAACAAACCTGTCTAGATTTTTAGTGACATTTTTCTTTTTTCTGAATTCTATAATCAGGAGCAACAAATGGAACTTTCATCAAGCATTTTTTTTATCAAGCACATGATCCTTTTGGCATATTGCAAGATTTAATGCTTGGCTATCTTCCATTTTTAATCAGTAATCTCAAAGAAAATGTAATATAATCAGATAATCTCCCCAGATAAGAGGCAGGGACATGGGTAGGTAGCAGAAGACAGGTGATTACATGGGTTGCTTGGTGAACTGGGGCAAAGGAAATACCTGTTTTGCTTTAGATTTAACAACACCTTGCATCTCAGGACAGCTGTGTGTGGTCTGGGAACTGAGGCTGGAGAGGAGCCTCTCATTTGGCAGCAGTATGAGTATTTTGTGAGATCTTTCACCTTGTAACGTGGATAAAAGTTGTATGGGATTTAGAGAAGTGTCAGGAGAATACAACAGACTGGAAAGGTTGCCTTATAATGAAAGGTTTTAAAGACTCGGTCTGTTTAAATTTCTGAAGTAAAAAAGTGGTGTGATTATGATGTGTAATTATTTTGTGTGAGACTGCAGTTGGGAAAGTGGGCACGAACTCAGACTAGCAGTTGAGTAACCCTAACATTCAGTTCCTGTGCTTGGAATTGGAAAATTTAAAGTAGAAATCCATGGCCAATCTTTAATTTGAACTTGTCCAAGTATCTATTAACAGAATGTATTGAAATAAAAAAACCCCATGAAGTAGAAGGGATCAAATGTGGAATAGCATGGCTTGCTTTCTCACTTGATGTTCTGCATAGTAGGTGTGTCTGAGATACCACAGTGGGATTTGAGAGCCTTGAAGAAGAAGGGAATGTAATGGTGCTCCTCAAACTGATTTGTAGAAGCAACGTATGACCCTTGAGTTTTCACAGGATTGCTTTTGTTTTCCAACTTAACTTGAAAGGCAGCATTTACTGCTAAATGCACTTGGTTTTATGGCACTGTGGAACACAGAAGTGTCTTTTTGAATGTTTTATTATGAGACTGAAACAACATGATGTCTGCAAACCTTAGGATTTATGTCCATTGTCATAGCCAAGACATGATTTTCAAGTGAAAACAAAAGTATTTTTTTCTCCTTTTTCAAATATGACTTCAGCGTCCAGGATCGTATGCATTTTCATTCTGCTTTCAGATATGTGTCTTTATCACAGTTTTCAAAAACACTAAAATATTTTTCTGCTGTTCAGCATAGCCAGATGCAAAGTATTGGTTTTGTAAAGGACTGGTAAAGAACAATACATGACTGAGTAACTTTTTTTCTAGAATTTTGTCTATAAGCAAACTGAAGGGGGATTAAGAAGAGTTACCTTATCCAGCTCCTACAGTAGCTAAAAGACATGTGCTACAAATTTAGCCATTGTGCAGTGTTCATAGGCAGGAAAAAGGAAAAAAGAACATTTTGTACGTTAAGTGATGCTTTTTCATGTGAAGTGAGCAGAACTAAATTACGGCTATTAGAATAGGGTTTGTTGCCTAACACTGTATAGGAACTAAGCAAAGGTCTGTTGTTCTTACCGATAGTTAATTTCCTAACTGGTTTTAGCCAGAGTTTAATTCAAACTTTGTATGGGTGTGTTTTCCAGCAAAAGTGTGATCTTCATTCATCAGTGAAACTTGTAGGGAGGAGGAGAAGGGGAGAACTGTGAGTTATAAGTTTGGAAGTATTCACTGAAACATTTAATGTAAGTCTTTCTCCAAGAAGGATACTAAAATTCAGTCAACTTAAACTTTTTTTGAATTTCTGTGTGTGTGTGCCTGATTTGAAGTGTATTGTGTTGGGAGCTCAGAACTGGTTCAGTGGCTACAAAAGTATATTTTTATAGAAATGGTGTATGTTCTTCATGATTCATACCTGACAAATTTTCATGTAAAGTGCTGGTATATTTTAGGTAACTAGATGTTCTTAAATATTCATTTTCTGCTGAGGTCAGGTGTATGTACCTGACATGATTGCCATTGATCAGCAGACAAGTTTAAACTTGTTAACAAATTGTGGTAATGTTAATGTGTCAAAGCTCTCAGTTCTTATGTAAAAATGAGTTATTTCAGAAGTTTGCTTTATTGTGAGTGTTATTTAAGCAGGGTCTTACTTGAGAGCTGTTTAGTCCTGTTCAGATATGATCAGTTGAAATGCTTGTAGCTTCTGCTCATGTTTATTTTACCCCTCTTTACATTTTCAGGTCTCTGAAAGTAAAAGGTTCATTCCTTCAAATTGGGTTACGGCAATCCCAAACATGGGTACAGGTAGGGCAATGAGTAGGTTTGAGAACCGCCTTGCAGGGAAGGACTTGGGGGTTCTGGTGGTTGAAAATCTGGACCTGAAC